AAAAAAAAAAAAAAAAAAACCAGAAAGGTGGAGGGATATTTTGAAAAGATTACTCTAGCTACTCTGTGGATGGGGGATGGGAAGAGTGGAAATGAAGAGACCAGAAGGCCACATGGTCAAGACAAAAAAAGACAGTAGCTTGGACTAAGCAGGTGGCAGGAGATCAGTGGCCAGATAAGAGACATCCAGGAAATAAAACCCACCAACATATATTTAGTGACTCCAAGGTTTCCTTGTACCTAAAGTTGGCTTTTTATAGGCCCAAGCAATATGAGTTATGCCTCTGTGATTGTTTTATAATATTTGCTATGGTAATTAATGTTATTTTCCTTACTAGACAGTCAATTCCTTGAGGGTAGGGTTGCCATGGGATGGAACTGTTCTCTCATACAGTATTGACCTGAGCGCTCTGAATAGATTGAGTGCTTACTCATACATTCCTAATGATAAAAGACTGCTTAAGATTCTCTGTACTTCTCCTTCCTCCTTAGCACTTATCACAATTGCAATTAAATAGTTACTCATAATTTTGTACTCAACACATCTCTGACTGGATGTAAACTCCATAAGGACAAGGACAGAGGACAGGGGCCAAAACTGTCTCAGTCGTTGTTTTCCACCAATGCCAAGCACTGTACTGATTGATGTTCAATAAATATTTGCAAAATAATCCTTTTACCAATTATTAAATAAAAGTTTCAACCAAACATTTCTATATTGCTCATTATGTGCTAGTCTCTGTTCTCAGTACCTTAAACATATTAACACATTTAATCTTCATAACAACTACATTAAGTATATACTATCAATGTCCCCATTTCACCGATGAGGAAACTGAGGCAGGGAGATTAATTTAAGGGATTCTGTTTTTAACAAATATAGCTGTACTTTTTTTTTTGAGTTGGAGTCTCACTCCGTTCCCTAAGCCGGAGTGCAATGGCACGCTCACGGCCACCCCAGGGTCGAACTGCTGGGTTCTAGCGATCCTTCCACCTTAGCCTTCCAAATAGCTGGAACTACAGGCGCGAGCTACCACGCCCGGCTAATTTTTTATTTATTGTAGAGACGAGGGCTCGCCAAGTTGCCTGGGCCGGTTTCCCAAAGTGCTAGGATTACAGACTGAGCCACTGAGCCCGGCCTAGACGTACATTTATTCTAAAAATTAACTAGACCCTCTGTCTGACAGTAGCTGGGGATACAAAGTAACATTGTGGTCACCGTGGTTAATACTTTTTGAGCACCTACTATACGTCAGGATTGTTGTTAAGCGCTTTACACGATTTTATCACCTCTCAATAATCTTGCAAGTGAGATCACCTTAATAGCACTTGATTATTAGGGAAGTAAAGGTTTGGCAAGGTTCAGTAACTGGACAAACGTCACCCAGCTGGTGGAGGTGGAGTATGTGCTGCTATTTTAAGTACAGCCTTCTCCTTTTTCGGAAAACGCGCAGGCTCCGCCCCTCTGCCAAAGTTGGCCCCGCCCAGATGCTCTTGCACGCCTGCGCACTCTCCGAGTTCGTCCCCTCCCCGTCGCCGGCGTGCCGCGCGCCTGCGCGCTGCTTCCCCATGTGTGCTTGGGCCGTCAGGGGGCCGAGTTGAGCGGAGGTTCGAAGGCTCCTCTGCGGAAAGACCTAGTTACCAGCTTTGCAGCCTCTGCCGCCTGCTGCTTCCCTCCTCTCTTGGTCTCTCCCCACAGAGAACGTAGCCATGGGCAAGAGCCGGACGAAGCGCTTCAAGCGACCACAGTTCTCCCCGACGGGCGGCTGTCAGGCCGAGGCGGCTGCGGCGGCTAATGGGACTGAAGGCGAGGAGGACGACGGGCCGGCAGCGGAGATGCTGGAGAAGGTGAGCGCGGGTTCCGCTGGGCCGGGGGCAGGCGCTGGCGGGAGCCCTTGCTGGCCTAATCCCGGCGCGCGTGCGCACTGCGCTGCCCTGAAACCTCACTCTCGCCCGCAGCTCCAGCACCCGAGCGCAGAGGTCCGCGAGTGCGCGTGCGCGGGGCTGGCCCGGCTGGTGCAGCAGCGGCCGGTGCTCCCTGGCCTGGCGCGCCGCGACGCTGTGCGCCGGCTCGGGCCTCTGCTGCTCGACCCCAGCCTGGCCGTCAGGGAGACTGCAGCCGGCGCGCTAAGGTGAGCCGGGAAGGGTCCGGGCAGGTGCCCTCTGCTAGCCTCCCTCGCCTGGGGTCAAGGCAGTCGCAGCAGTCAGCCAGCGCTTTCTGTGCGCCTGGCACTGTCGTGCTGCCTGAACCCAATCTCCAGGCTCCAGAGGGACCCCAGTGCCCCTGGGCCAAAGCATTTCATCTGTCCACTGCAGCAGCCATCTGACAGGGCGTCCTGTCCTCACGCCTGTCGCACGTTTTACCCTCTCCAAAAACCCTCCGTAGAGTCACATGGTTGAATGAACTCTTCCAGTCCTTGTGCCACTAATTGTTCTAGGTGCAGGGAACTTTAGGCAGTCAGAACGTTGAGCAAGAGAACCGAGATCTCTCTCGGCAGAAGCGATATTGGTGGAGAGACAGGAAACGAGTAAAACAGTAAAACAGTATCAGTGAGACGTGCTATGTTAAAAGGAGATGCTGGTGAGTTGGGGATGGGAAGTTTAAATTGGTCGCTCTTTAGATGATGTATGCTACTCAACACTGAAGGACGAGAGACCCAGGCATTCCCCACAGATGGAACAACAACATCAAAGAAGTGAGGCAGGAACTCTTAGTGTGGTTGAAGAACAGAAAGGTTGGTGTGACCGAGGAGAGTAGGTTGGGGAGTCATAGAAGAGATTAGAGAGGTGAATACGCTGTGGGGTGGCTGAAAGACAAGCAGGAGAGTGACATAATCTAACACCTTTTGAAAAGACCTCTGTGGTGGCTGTGCAGAGAATGGACTGCAGAGGGGGCAAGAGTAGAGGTTAATATCTGTAGTTCTTTTAGCTGTCTTTATTTATTAAGTTTCATTCATTGATTTAGCAAATACAGAGGGTGCCAAAAAAAAAGCCTATACATTTTAAGAAAGGAAAAATATACTGGTAACAAAAAATGGACAAGTCACATTTGACTTCTGCAATTACAAGAGATGCTCAAAGTGGTTACCATCAGCGTCCAGACACTTCTGAAAAGTAATGTGTAGATAAAATCTCTTAAAATGTGTATACATTGTTTTCGCACCCCCGGTATATATCTCATGCCTACTGGTTGCCAGGCACTGGGCTAGGCTGCGGGCATGGGGTAGTAAACAAGACAGACAGGATTTCTGTCCTTAATGAATCTTAAAATCTATTTTAAAAAATTATTATTATTAGAGATAGAGTTTCACTCTGTTACTCAGGCTGGTGTGCAGTGGTGCAATCAGAGCTCACTGCAGCTTCGACCTCCTGGGCTCAAGTGATCCTCCCACCCTCAGCCTCCTGAGCAACTAGGACTACAGACGTGCGCCACCACATCTAGCTAATTTTTAAATTATTTGTAGAGACAAGATCTTGCTATGTTGCTGAGGCTGGTCTCAAACCCCTGGGCTCAAGCCATCCTCTCACCTCAGCTGCCCAAAGTGTTGGGATTACAGGCATGAGCCACTGTGCTCAGTGAATCTTAAGTTCTACTGAGGGAGATAAGCATTAACCAAATAATCACACACATGTATAATTACAACCAATGGTGGTTACAGAGGATGTCATGAGAGGGTATAAATGGGGATTCAGGGACCATTGCTTTGCTAAACTCTGGTCTGGTTATGTGACTTTGAGCACTGACTAGGCCGTGTTTTCCGAGCTTTGTCCCCCTCCCGTACCTTGGAGAGGTGAATCTAAAATAAAGATAAAAATGGAGGCTCAGGAAAGAAAACCCTGAGCCAGTGATGACTGAGGTGAGGTCTGAGGGATGAGTGGGGATTTAACCTGTTAATGGAGAGAGTTTAGACATTAGACATCCTTTTACTCCTAGGGAGGAAACAGCGTGTAGAAAGCCCTTCCCTTCCCTCAAACATACACACAACTGGGGGTTCCTGGCAGTTTGTGGGGGTGATTTCTGACTTACCACCTCCATGTCCTTTATGCCTGGTATAGTGCTGTGCACTCAAGGCAAGCAGTGTCTTTCCAGTTAAAATTAAATGTAGCTGGGGCTTCTTCAGTGGGACCCTTCTCAGCAGCCCCTAGCCTTGCTGCCCTTGCAGTCTTGATTTCAAGAAAAGACTCCTTCATGCACCATCTGATTCATTCACATTAAATGAGAAAGTCTTCCCCCGCTCCCTTTATTGTAGCTGTGTACATGTGTACTGTCTCAGACCTCAGAACCAAGTTGTTACACAACAAAGTAATTTGGTTAGAACAAGAGTCAGAACAGGTGGAAACCTGGCTTGGTTCTGCAGCATATGACAGGCATAACAAGCAGTTTCCTCTGGGAAACCTTAAGTATGGTTAAAAATAGAAATAAATTGGAGAGTTTTGTAGTGTTTTGTGACATGCGATGTGAAAGTAACATGTTTTTAACTTCTTGTGCAGAAATCTCAGTGCTTGTGGAGGTTTTGAAGTGTGTGATGACATGGTGACTAAGGATATCATGACACCTCTGGTTGCTGTGCTAAGAGAGGTATGCAGTTTGTAAAGTGTTTTGGTGGCAGCTTCCAGCTATAACTGTTAAGATGCAAACTCAGACTTTTTTAGTACTTTGGTGTGACTTTATTGTCTCTCAAAATATCTTATGGGAATTTCATTGCCTGGAAATAGTGATCTCTTATCATTGATACTAATCTCTCTTATTTTATATTGATTACCTTTATTTATGTGATAGTTGACAAAGACTTCCTAGAACTAGACAGACTCACTCCTTCAGACTTTAAACTTCTTACAGTAAAAATGACTCGTATTTATTGATTGCTTATTTGTGTACCAATACTGTTTTTATACTTTTTTTAAAAATTTAATTTATTTTTTATTATAAAGATGTGGAGTACAATATTCAGGGTTAGGTATACAAATGTTGATGAGGCCGGTACCTGTGTTTATACTTTATATATTGTTTAATTTATACTTCGCAGTGATCCTATGAGGCAGGTATTAGCATTCCCATTTTCCAGGTGATGAAGCAAGCTGGGACACAGACATTAGGAACTTGCTATGGAGATTACATTAAGTTATCATATTTAATATCATGCCATTCTTATTGTTTAATATAGTTTCAGGGTTAAGGCATTCTTTATGGTGTGCCTCTGGTCCATTCATCTGTATTGATGGGTAATATTTCACCTAAGGCTTTGTAAGGGATATCCAGTTTTGATGAGAGACTTCAGTCCTCTTCCCTTTAAAGAAGTGATTCTCTGCTGGGTGTGATTTTGTCCCACAGGACAAATGTCACCAGATATTGCCAAATATCTGGCAATATCTGGTGACATTTTGCATTGTTACTTATTTTGGGGGTAAGGTTACTACTGGTATCTAGTGGGGAGAGGCCAGGATGCCATGAAATGTTCCACAGTGCACATGACAGCGCACCCCAGATGACGAATTATCTGGTCCAGAATGTCATTGGTGTCTGAATGGAGAAGCCTTGCTTTAGAGGGTGCCCTGCACTATGCTTAAGGGGCTGGGTCTGAATGCCTGGGTCTGAATTCCAGCTTTACTACATAGTGAGCTATCCTTTCAGCAGCCTCCCTGTGCCTCGGTTTCCTATTTGTGGTTAGAGATTGGAGTAATAGTTCATCTACCTCATATGTTTGTTGTGAGGATTAAGTAACTTAGATGTCAAGTGCCTAGAAGAGTGTCTTGGGAGGCACTGTATAACTGTTAGCTCTTATTTATGATCTCTTTCTTTGCCTTTATTACTATCTTTTATCACATTGGGTAACATACTTTGTATTGATTTTGTACTTTCATTTAAAATGTGAAGTGCTTATATCCAGTTTGCACAATGACTTGAGAACTTTTCTTGTCCGTATTTCTTGACAAAAGGGAAGTAGGATTGTGGAAATTGTACTTACGAGAATTTGACTGGTTTGTTCACCACTACAGATTCTGATGTTTAGCTTTGTAATGTCACCATCATTAGCCTTTTTTATTATTCTTTGAAACCAGGGTGCTAATCATGATATTTGGTTACAGTGCAGTGCTGGACTGGATTCAAATGAGATGTCTCCACAGGAGAAAAAAGATCAGAAGAAAAATGCCATTGAGAACATAGCCAATGAGGCTGTGAATGTGCTGTGGAATATATGGTAAGATGCTTTCCAGACACAGCCGTTAGCTGCAGCGCTTCTCCTCTTTCTGTTCACCTGCATAGGAAGCTCAGTTTCCTTGGTAGGCTTGTAACTCCATGATGTTGATGCTTGGTAAGAGGGACTATCGGGTAACTTTCTCAGTCACTTCTCATAGCATCAATCCATCTTTTTACACCTCTTCTCTACAGTCTGTGCTGCTGACAAAATTAAGAGGAATCATAACCGTTAGCACCTGCTATTCCTCTTTGCCATCATGGCCCACAAGCCCTAAGTAGCATCTGTCTTATACTGGTCAGGCTCTGGTGCAGTAGCTGCTCTGGTTTGACATCTGGAATGAGACGGGGAGACCACAGACTGTGATTGGTGCTTTACACCCCTTCCCTGGCAGCCACCATCTGAGTGGGAAGTAGATGCCTAAGCAGAGCTCCTTGGCCCCATGCTTGTAAGGGAATGGGGGTGGACTTGCTGCCAGAGATGGATGACTGAACACACAACCTGGCTTCACTTTTTTCTGTCCCATTTTATGTCCCACATTTCTAGCAAATTCTGTCGTAGTTCCTTATCTTCAGCAGTGATTATAATGGTGACCTAAAAGCACAGGTGTTTCTTAGAATACAAGATTAGTTGGATCCTGAAAAGCTGCCTGCGGAGCAATCTGAACTTGCCTGTTATTGCATTTTAAACTAGTGGATGCATCCCGCCAGAAAGATTGGGGAGATCATATCCGAGGAAATGGCATTTGAGCAAACAGGCAAATGCTGTGCACCAGATAACTTTAATTTATATAAATTGTTGAACTTGGAAGTTTAAAAAACTTTTTATGAAAAGAGTCTGGGGCCAGGTGCGGTGGCTCATGCTTATAATCCCAGCACTTTGGGAGGCTGAGTTGAGAGAATTGCCTGAACCCACAGGTTCAAGACCAGGCTGGACAAATTGGTGAGACCTCATCTCTACAATAAATCAAAAAATTAGTCAGGTGTGGTGGCGTGTGCCTGTAATTCCAGCTATTTGAAAGGCTGAGGCGGAAAGATTACCTGAGCCCAGCAGGTCAAGGCTGTGATGGCCGTGAGCAGTGTGCCACTGCACTCTAGCCTGGGTGACAGAGTGAGACTTCAACTCAAAAAATAAAAAAAAGTCTGGATTTGTCTCCAAGGTAATTTCTCTTTTCTGAATGCTGTGAGCCCTGTCTGTCTCATTTACAGTTACCATAGTGCTTAACATTTTTGTTTCACTATTTATATTTTAAATTACCTTTACACTATGTATGTCTTGTCTTTCTGACTATACTGTGGGCTCCTTTAGTGCTGCAATAACTAGATAGATAGATTGCAGGCAAAGTATTTTCCCTAGATAGCATTTAATAATTTAGTCGGCTCTGTTAGCTGTTAGTGTGTTATGTTTATGTGATATGTATAGAGGAATACCCTTCTCTTAAAACATGGAGGATTACTGTAATAGCTTTGTTTACCCTATATTTAGTATGTATGCTTATTTATAACATTGACAGCTTTCTGGGTCTTTTATTAAAAGGTAGTATAATTTCAAAAATGCTTATTATTGCAATTTCTGTTACAGATTACAAATTCTGCTTGATGAAATGATAATTAAAGTCTGAAAGGAATGCATATAATTTTATTTCCTTTTATATTTGTAGATTTTGTCTGATAAGTATAGAGGCCCTTTATCCTTACTTTAGCTTATTATCATTGTGGTGTAGTGGAAAGAAAGAACAATGGGTCACATCCAAGGAACCCAGTTTCTGGTCCTGGCTCTACCACTAACAAAATGCGTGATCTTCTGATGGATCACTTGACTGGAGCCTGCGTCTTCTTGTCTGTGAAATGGAGAGTTGAATTAAATGATTTCCAAGATCTCTTTCACCTCCAGCCTTCAGTAGGGAGACTGACATCATGATAAAGAGATTGATTAAAAGGTCTCATTTGTGCCAGGCACAGTGGCTCAAACCTGTAATCCCAGCACTTTGAGAGGCCAAGGCCGAGAGGATTGCCTGAGCCTGCAGGTTCAAGACCAGCCTGGGCAACATGGTGAGACCTCATCTCTACAATAAATACAAAAAATTAGCTGGGCGTGGTAATGTGTGCCTGTAGTTCTGGCTACTTGGAAGGCTGAGGCGGAAGAATCACCTGAGCCAGCAGGTCAATGCTGAGACTCCATCTAAAAAAAAAAAAAAAAGGTCTCATTTGCTAGAAATAAAATACAGGTTGTCAGTTCGTATGTACAGTGAATGTGAATGGGCATTAGTTTCTTCATCTATAAAAATGGTGGGTGTTTGACTCTAACTCTTTGGTTTATAAAGTCTAATTTGTTTTTTCATGGTTTTCTGTGGTTGATTTCTTAATGTTAAAATGTGAATAGTAAAACTTTTTTTTCCCCCTTCAATTTAGTGAATGCAGTAGTAGAGCAGTATCTATATTCAACAAAGAAGGGTGTTTGGAGATTGTATTAAAGTATTTAAGTAGGTTTTCCACCAATGTTGACCTGGCTATTTCAGTAGGTAAGTGAAGAAAAGATGATCTATTAAGTATGTGTAGCCTTATTCAAAAATTTTTATGCAGACATAGCATATTTATTCTAGAGAGTAATTTTTTTCTCGTATATAAATGTATAGCTGAGTTCTGTTTGTTTAAAATCTCTACATCTGTGATTCATACTTTACTTATGTAATTTTCCTCCTTTTGGCTCTGAAAGAGGGAATGTAGATTATGTAAGCATGTGCAGTTTCTAGTCTTTTACCATTCTTAGAAGCCTTTATTAATTCTTGAAGTCTTCAGCTCCATTTACTAAGAAACAGTAACATACAACCACAGGCCTTTAAGCCAAAGTTAATTGGAATTTAGACTTACTTAAATGTCTTGTACTATTCTCTCATACTTCCAGCAGAAAACTGATTGCCTGTGTTTTTGTTTTTATCTTTTAGAGACAGAGTCTCGCTCTCTTGCCTAGGCTGGAGTGCAGTGGTATGATCATGACGATCACGGCTCACTGCAACCTCAACCTCCCAGGCTCAGGCAATTCTTCCACCTCAGCATCCCAAGTAGTTGGGACTACAGGTGTGCACCACCACCCCTGGCTAATTTTTTGGTAGAGATGAGGTTTTGCTATGTTGCCCAAGCTGGTCTCAAACTCCTGGGCTCAATCCACCTGCCTCAGCCTTACAAAGTGCTGGGGTTACAGATGTGAACTACCACATCCAGCCTGGCTAATTTTTTGAAAAGTTTTTTGGTAGAGACAGAAAAATAAATAAATAAAGACTGGATGCAGTGGCTTATTTCTGTAATCCCAGCACTTGGGAGGCCAAAATGGAGGATCACTAAAGATCAGGAATTCAAGACCAGCTTGGGCATCCTTGAGGCCAAGAGTTCAAGACCAGCTTGGGCAACATAGCGAGACCCCATCTCTACGGAAAAAAAAATTTTTAAATTTGGTTTTGTAGAGACGGAGTCTCACTGTGTTGCCCCGTATAGTCTGGTCTGGAACTGCCAGATTCAAGCAACCTCATACCTTAGCCTCCTGAGTTGTTGGGATTGCAGGCATGAGCCTAGGTGCCTAGCTGAGTTTTTTTTTCTTTTCTTTGTTTTGTTTTTTGAGAGAGAAGAATGAAGTGACTGAGGTTTCATTTAGGCCTTCCCTTCTATGAGGTAAGGGAAGCAAAATCCAGCAGCTTCAGTAGCCTTGGCTCCCCCACCTTCTCTTTATTGGGCTGGAGAGCCATTGGGTACCCTCAGCTCAGCAGGCTGGGGGCGGAAACAGAAACCAGAGGGTGAGCTGCTCAACAGAATCCTGGGTGAGACTGGAGAAATAATTGATGGTGGGTGTTTTTTTATACCCATCATCTTGATGGGTATCCTTTTCTCCTGGCAAGAGAGATGTGTATTCCCCTTACTGGTGTTTCTCTTGGCTCTACCAGATAATTTTAAGAGAACAGAACAGGGAAAGAAAGTAGTGATATAAATACTACTGCGAAATTTAAAAAACAAAATTTAAAATGGAATCTTGGTGTGAGGTGGGAGATTGTGAGTAAATGGGTATTTTAAAAACAGCTCAGTTGTTTTTTAGGAGATTGGTAGGTGATATTTAATCCCAGAGGACAATTTTTATTACAATAAGAAAATTATTTCATACCTTTTTTTTTTTTGAGTCGGGGTCTCACTTTGCTGCCCAGGCTGGAGTGTAGTAGCATGATTACAGCTTGACTTCCTGGGCTTCAGTGATCATTCCACCTCAGTCTCCCAAAGAGCTGGGACAACAGGCATGTGCCATCATGCCCAGCTATTTTAAAAAATTTTTATAGAGACAAGGTTTCGCTGTGTTGCCTAGGCTGGTCTTAAACTCCTGAACTCAAGCAGTCCTCCACTTCAGCTTCTCAGAGTGCTGGGATTATAAGTAAACCACCACACCTGGCCAAGAACTTGGATTGTCTTTGCAGTAGCAATCACAGCTTATCTCGACTTTTTGCTGAAGCAAATTAGTCTTTTAATGAAAATATATGACAGTTAATATATGTAGATATAAATGGATTTGTATACAAATTTATTTTGGGAACTGAACTAGCTCACAGCAATAGCATTTTGACTTTGGATAGGCATGATCTAATAATTTACCCATCTCTTAGTTTGTTCTTATTTGTATATAAAATAGCTTTTTTCCTTAAAGAACTATTGCTTCATCAGAAATAACCCTAACTTTTAAGGTCATGATGAATTTAAAAAAAGCTAGAGTGACCCAAAACCTGGGGCTTATTATCATAAACAGAAATTCTTTACAAGTGTACTTCGTTACTGTTTGCTACTGACCCTTGCTTGATAAGTACATAAATGGAGGATAAACTTTTGTAAATGTTTATAATAATTTGAGATTGCCATGACATTAAGTGCCTTTTTAATTGTGTCTTATAAATGTATACTTCTGTAAAGGATTAGAAATTTGAAAAGAGAAATGATCATTTATAGCATGGACAGTTTGGGAAGCCTCCTTTGTGTACACCATCCTTGAGATAAAGCAGACAGAGTCCACAGAAGCCATGTATGTCTAGAGAAGTGGTAGAGATGCAGACTTGTTCAATAAGTTCTACTGGTGTAAGTTATTCCACGCAGAATTCATTGGTTTCTAAATACTTATTTTTTGTCTTATAGCATATTGTTTGCAGACAGTAACTGAAGATAACCCAGAGCTACTGAAATCTTTCAGTACTGCAGCATTGCATGTTCTAGAATCAGCAATGCTTTCTCCTGTCACTTCCATGGAATACCTTCTGTTGAAGACACTGATAGCAGGTAAAATGTAGCTTTAGGAAATAGTGTACCTTTTTAGTAACTTGGAATGGAGAGAGGCAGGAGCCAAAGTTTCATTATTCCTTCATTCACCACAGCAGGGCTTTCTATGCTATGTCTGTTCTGAAAATCTTAATATTTAAGCAGAGGCCCTTAATTCAAGTAGTTGTCTATAGTTGTGAAACCTTCTAGAATAGATTTGTAATTTTATTTACTTATTTTTAAATTTTTGTTTATTTTATTCATTTATGAAGAGATGAGATCTCGCTATGTTGCCCAGGCTAATCTTGAACCCCCTGACTCAAGCAGCCCTCCTGCCTCGGTTTCCCAAAGTACTGAGATTACTAACAGGTGTGAGCCACCACACCTGGCCCAGATTTGTTTTCAGTTTTCCAAACTACTGTTAACTGATAGAGAGGTGCTGTTTTCAAGATCCCCTCTTATTTATGAGCCAATGATTTCAGAAATTGGCCACTTTAGTTTTTCTTGAGTCCTTTGCCACCAATCCTTTTCTCTCCAGAATCTCTGAATATAGAAATAAGTAACCTGATGGTCTGTTTAGTAGTGTGTGTTTTATTCCGTTTCTATGTGTATTTTCCTCTTACCCTTTGGCCTTGCAGAAGTAATTTATGTTGAGGTTTTGTATTTTATTTTTAATTTGAACTCATTTGCGACCATTGATGTGAATTTATATCATTCCAAATTCTGTTCCTGATTGCAACTGACGTGAATTTACCTCATTGTGGAAGACTCTTTTTGGGTTTATAATCCAAATAAAAATAGAAAGTATAGCATGCTAGTCAGAGTGGTGTCTGGGGCAAATACTGAATATATCTGCAACTTTCAGCAGTATTGTGAAAAAGATGACAATTTAGAAAAGACCATTTCACTTGTGCTTAAAGACAGAAGTTTGGGGTAACCAGCTTCAGATTTTTATTTTCACCCATTCTCAGTATCAGGAAAGTAAAAAATTTGCCAGTCGCGAAGTTAATTGTAAAATTACATATAAAAATTATCATCTTAATCATTTTGAAATGTGTAATTCTGTGGGGTAAAGCACATTCAAATTGTAGTGCAACAAATCTCCAGAGCTCTTTTTGTCTTGCAAAACTGAAATGATACCCTTTAAGCCACAATTTTTCCCGTTTTCCCCCTCCCCCAACCCTTGTCAACCACCATTCTTTCTGTGACTTGGACTACTTTAAATATGGCATAGAGTTGGGATCATATAGTATTTGTCTTTTTGGAACTGGTTTGTTTCACTTAGCTTAATGTTTTTTGTTTGTTTTCCATCCTCTTACTTTGAGTCTGTGAGTGAGCATAATGTTTTCATAGGTCATCTATGCTTGTATCGTGTGTCAGAATTTCCTTCCTCTTTAATGCTGTATAAGATTTCATGATATGTATAATACCATCTTTTGTTTATCCATTCATCTATTGATGGATGCTTGGGTTACTTCTGCCTTTTGGCTATTGTGAATAAGGCTGCTGTGAAAATGGACATAATTTGTTCAAGACCCTTTCAGTTCTTTTTGGTATACGGCCAGGAGGTGTATTTTTGTAGTCACTTTTTAAAAAATTAATCTGGGCTGGGTTCAGTGGCTCAGCCTATAATCCCAGCACTTTGGGAGGACGAGGCTAGTGGATTGCCTGAGCCTGTGGGTTCGAGACCAACCTGGCAACCTGGTGAGACCTCGTCTCTACAATAAAATTAAAAATAGCTGGGCGTGATAGCACGTGTCTGTAGTTCTGGCTACTCAGAAGGCCAAGGCAGAAGGATCGCTGGAGCCCAGAAGGTTGATGCTGGGGTGGCCGTGAGCATGCTTGCCACTGCACTCCAGCCTGGGCGAAGGAGTGAGACTCCAACTCAAAAAAAAAAAAAGAATCTCCTTAATGGTAGCTTTGTTTCTATTTTGATAATCAGAATACCAAGAACCTGCTCTTTGGTTTGTACATGAGACCTTGGAATTTTAGTACATTCCATTCCACTCTTGGAATAGTAGAGGCTACCGAGGAAAGCAGGTTAGGCGAAGATGAAAGTGAGGCAACTCACTTTGTCATCTAAAAAGAAATTTGATCAGTGTTCTCTCGGTCTGCTGACACAGTATGCCAGAAAAAAGCAGCGTTGTATGCCAAGGAAGGGAGATTGTGAAGGGCTGTAACAAAGGGCACTGCCTCTGTTCAGTACTTTTTGACATTTAATAAAAACTGAACAGAGGCAAAGGGTCGAGATTTTTTGAAATTACACTTGAGTGAAAAAGCACGTCTTGTGGAAGCTAAACTTAAATAAAAGATTTCACAGGCAATTCTTATCCTTATGCTCATTTTTTCCCAGGTACAATTTGGAACCTAAAGGACGTTATTCCGTGCAAGAGTCAAGCAGAAATTATAAATGCCATACTGAAGATCTTATCTGAAGTTTTGAAAATGGATGCTGGTGAAACAGTTATTCAAATGAAAGAGGCTGAAACTCAGAGGTTAAAAACTGCTGCAGAGACCGAGGAAATATTAGAGAATGCTAATGGTGATTTGATTGAAGATGATGAAATGGAAGAAATTCCTTATAAACGAAAAGTCAGAAGGAAAACGTTTCTTTCAGATTTACTGCCAGTAAGTCAGATTGATTCTCTCAAACACAGATTAATATGGGAGTTTTCTTTCAGTAGGCATCCTTAGCTTTATAGAAAAATGTTATAGCAAAATTAGCTTGAAAGTACATTTCAATAAAAATTGTTCATATTTTCCTGTTGACCCTCATTATAACATTAGAAACCTGTTCCCAAAGAGGAGAAAAATCTCTTGTCTAAAATTATATTTTTACATGCAGGAAAAGGTTTCAAAGATAGGATAGACTTACCCTTTTGGAAACATACAATCATATTCTAACTCTTTGTCTCCCTGCTTCTGTTATGGACTGTCTGCCAGACTGTCTTTAAACTGAAGGAATGTGCTTTGCTTGGATTGTCCCTTGCATTCTTGTCTCTTTTAGTTCAATATTTAGCCTTATCAAGGTGGCAAGCCAAACCTTCATTTATCCACTGCTGAGCAGAGAAGGTTGGGTGATTGTGAGGGATGGGGTGATTGCAGCATACTTGTGCTGGCCGTGTGATGTTGGGGCAAAGGTGAATGATCTTGGGTACAGGAATCATTTTGACTAAGATATTTGACAGAGATGAGTCATACTTTGGGAGAACATTTGTTAAGGAGAAGGGCAGGGTAAATAGTGAGTTAGACTTCATTCATTCATTCACGTACACATTTACTGTGCTCCTAATGTATGGCAGGCACTGTGCTAGATGCTGGTGATAGATGATGAGGACATATTTCTAATCTTCAGGAACCCCCTCCGTGTTGGAAGACAGACACATAAAGCTGTGGTTATAAGGCTTGTGCTAAGAACAGTGATGGGCTGTGCACAGATTTCTAAGGGAATAGTTTCAGTAGACTCGACACATGTGGCTCAACCCTAATTGGAGAGCAAAGGCTGTTAGGGGGCTTTTTAGACAAAATACCTGAGCTGTCTTAAAGGATGATGTAAGAAAAAGCAGATTAGGTTGGACACAGTAGCTCACACTTGTAATCCCAGCACTTTGGGAGACCGAGGTGAGAGGATTGCCTGAGCCCATGGGTTCGAGACCAGCCTGGGCAACTTGGTGAGACCTCATCTCTACAGTAAATAAAAAAATTTGCCAGATGTGGAGGTACCATGTACCTATTGTTCCAGTTACTTGGAAGGCTGAGGTGGAAGAATCATCTGAGCCCAGCAGGTCGACACTGTGGTGGCAGTGAGCATGCCACTGCACTCCAGCCTGGGCAACACATTGAGACTCCATCTTAAAAAAAAAAAAAGATTAGTGTTGTTTAGAGAATTTAGGCAGCTGGATGGAGCCAGAATATAAGGGATCTGGCAGCAGGAAGACCAGGCAGGTGGCTACTGAAGAGAGATGACAAAGCCCAACTGGGAAGATGTGACTTAAGTCCTTTCACACGTTCCTGGATTCATGAAGTCTTGAGACGCGTACATTGATGGTGTTTTAAAGAAATCAAAATGTTGTGGATAGAACCAACTCCCCCCCCCAATGAATAATCTGTGGGTACAAACCATTGTGTTAAGTCCTGGGCAGATACAGAAATAAAATAACCATCCTGTCCTTGCTCACAAGTCCTTTTATATTAAGACAGGTCTCACTATGCTGCCCAGGCTGGATTTGAACTACTGGGTTTATGCAATCCTCCCACCTCAACCTCCTGAGTAGCTGGGACTACTGGGGTACACCACCATGCCTGACTTTGCAAGTCTTCAAGCAGCTTAAGAGTCACAGCAACACACAGGGCTATTTTTTTTTTTAGTAGGAGTCTCACTGTCACCCAGGCTGGAGAGCAGTGGAATGCTCACAGCCACTGCAACCTCGATCTATTGGGCTCAGGCAATCCTTCTGCCACAGCCTTCGAAGTAGTTGAAACCACAGGCAAGCACCACCATGCCTGCCTAATTTTTTGTTTTATTGTAGAGATGAGTTCTTGTCAAGTTGCCCAGGCTGGTCTCAAACCCCTGGGCTCAGACAGTCCTCTCACCTCTGCCTCCCAAAGTGCTGGGATTACAGGAGTGAACCACCACGCCCAGCCAGAGCATATATTTAAACCCCACATGTATTCCTTGTCTCACTTGTGCCTTTAACTCAGTTCGAGTAGAATTTTAAATCAATGAAGCAGCCCAGTGTGATGTGATGGCTAATACCTGTAATCCCCAGCACTTTGGGAGACAGACAGGAAGATTGCTGAGCCGCTGTCTCTTAAAAAAAAAAAAATCCCTTAAAGCAAAGCTGTGCACCTTGTCCTCCAAAAACTGTTTATAAAGGACCCTAGTGGCAGCATCTCTTCAGTTATCATGGAAAGGTTAGTTGCACATCTGGAATGTGCTTGTTTCTTATCCGTATATGGAAGGGGAGTGTAGAAAATTAGGGCTTGGGGGGTCTTTTTCAGCTGAGACCTTGTACCAACCAGGTTTCTTTTTATCCTAATGGATGCAGGTTCACCATGTTTGAAGGCTCAGGAAGCCCTTGCTAGGAATGGTAGGACGTTCTCATCTGGTTGTCTTCATCTCTGGCCCTGCTTCCCAGGGGCTCCTGACGAGAGCTAGTGGGAGTTGAGATGAATGTCTGCCAAGGTTAAGATAGATGTGCTGCTGTTTAAAAACTATTTTAACTTTTGTAGAGATTTATTAAGTATAATTTAAAAACAAGTCAGACGCAGTAGTTCATACTTGTAATCACAGCATTTTAGGAGGCAGAGGCAACAGGTTTGCCTGAACCCATGGGTTTGATACCAACCTGGGCAAGTTCACGAGACCTCATCTCTACAATAAATCAAGAAAAATTTGCCAGGTGTGGTGGCATATGCCTGTAGTTCCAGCTGCTTGAAAGGCTGAGATGAAAAGATTGCCTGAGCCCAGCCAAACTCCAGCCTGGGCTGCAGAGTGAGACTCCGACTCAAAAAAAAAAAGTATTACTTCCAAAAATAGAATTTTAGGACTGGGGTGTGGTGACTCAAGCCGGTAATCCCAGCACTTTGGGAGGCCGAGGTAAGGGGATTGCCTGAGCTCATGGTTTGAGAATAGCTTGGGCAACTTGCTGAGACCTCATCTCTACAATAAATAAATAAAAATTAGCCGGGCATGGTAGCACGCGCCTACAGTTCTGGATCGCCTGAGGAAGGATCGCCTGAGTGACCATGAGCGTGCCACTGCACTACAGCCTGGGCGACTCCAACTCAAAAAAAAATAGAATTTTGGTACTTATAAAATACAATATTTTCTTATAGTAAAAACTTGCTTTCTAAAGTTTTCCTTAAGATAAAGTTTGTAAGGAAAAAAAGATTCAAAAGTCGAAAAAGAAAAAAGAAAGTCTTCTTCCAGCCCGGGCAGCATGGCAAGATCTCATCTCTACAATAAATTTAAAAATTAGCTGACATGGTAGTGCATGCCTGTAGTACCAGCTACTCGGGAGGCTAAGGTGGAAGGATCGCCTGAGCCCAGCAGGTCAAGACCGCATTGGCCATGCACCTGCACTCTAGCCTGGGTGACAGAATGAGATTGACTCAAAAAATAAAAAAAGAGCCAGGTTCAGTGGCTCAACCTGTAATCCTGCACTTTGGGAGGCTGAGGTGAGTGGATTGCCTGAGCCTGCGGGTTCAAGACCCGCCTGGGCAACTTGGTGAGACCTCATCTCTACAATAAATCAAAAATTAGCCAGGCGTGGTAGCACGTGCCTGTAGTTCCAGCTACTTGGAAGGCTGAGATGGAAGGATCGCCAGAGCCCAGCAGGTCGAGGCTGCGGTGGCCGGGAGCGGCCATTGCACTCCAGTCTGGGTGATAGAGTGAAACTTCAACTCCAAAAAGAAAAAGAAAAAAAGACAATACTTCTAACGTGACTTACTAGGCTGGATGATAACATGCTGATTGGCCAGCCAACCAGTGTTTAAGTACCCATAAGGTACTAGACACCATGTTCTGTTTGCCAGGAAACAAATTAGAGTCTGCTGTGGTCTTTCACATGACCTAGTGGCTTTTGCAGGAGTTCTTTACAATCAAAACTCTTTTTTTTTTTTTTTTTTGAGTTGGAGTCTCTCTTCGTCACCCATGCTGGAGTTCAGTGGCACACTCATGACCACCCCAGCATCGGCCTGCTGGGCTCCGGTGATTCTTCTGCCTCAGCCTTCCAAGTAGCTGGAACTACATGCGTGCGCTACCACACTTGGCTAATTTTTTTTTACTTATTGTAGAGACAAGGTCTTGCCAAGGTGCCCGGGCTGGTCTCGAACCCGTGGGCTCAGGCAATCTACTCGCCTCGGCCTCCCAAAGTGCTGGGATTACTGGCTGAACCATTGAGCCTGGCCTCAATTAAAACTCTTAATTGCACCATTTAACTTAAGAAAGTATAACCACAAATATGTAAAGAAAGAGCAGCTCAGTCCAAGTTGGATTTTTTTCTGATACATGCAGGAATATCCCCCGCCGAGCTTCCACAGGTAACAGTTTTCAAATCATGGTCTTTTTTATTTCACCTAGTTCCTAATCATGCTCCCTTCTCTCTACTGATTATTTTGAAGCAAATCTCAGCTGTCACATTTCATCTGGCTTGGTTCGTATATTAGCTTGATAACGATAAGAAGCAGGGAAGTGTTCTGAGCAGGAGAGTATCTAAAGAAGTGGAACTTAGTTTCAGAGTTCCTTTCAAGCTAGATCTTCATGCATTTTAAGTGAATGAGAGCCCATCAACATGTCTTATTTAGCTTTGAGTCTACTCTAATAAATATTTAGTTGAATTATTACAGAGCAACAGAAATTTTTCTGTTTATTCATGCTAGCAACAAATGGAATTCAGATTTAGAGATTCCCAAGCTACATCTGTTAAAATAGCAATTGCTTTATTTTTTTTAAGAACTTGATTCAGCCGGGCTCGGTGGCTTAGCCTGTAATCCCGTGCTTTGGGAGGCCGAGGTGAGTGAATTACCTGAGCCTACGGGTTCAAGACTCGCCAGGGCAACTTGGAGAGACCTCATCTCTACAATAAATTTAAAAAATTAACCAGGCATGGTAGCGCGCGCCTGTAGTTCCAGCTACTTGGAAGGCTAAAGCGGAAGGATTGCTGGAGCCCAGCAGGTCGAGGCTACGGTGGCTGGGAGCAGCCACTGCACTCCAGTCTGGGTGACTGAGTGAGACTCCAACTCAAAAAAAAAAAGAACTTGATTCAAAGTTACAGTTAAATTGCTGTACAAAGGAGTTGTTGGTGGGATTGTAAATGAGTATGAACATTATAGAAAGGAAAATGGGAATATGTCGCAGGATCTATAATGTGTTTTCAACCATTGACCAACCAGGTAAATCTTAGGAAAGAAGATATACAAGTAATCTGAAGGAGTTTACACAGGTGGAATGCTTAGTAAATTGAAGTACATTCATCTACTAGAATATTACGATGTTACACAGCCAGTGAAAAGACAGAAAACTGTTGAGATTTGGAATCATTTAAACAATAAAATACATATTATTTTTAGCTTATGCACTGTTTTAGAGTATCATTATGGCTATTTAACTTTTCATAGAGAATTTAAGAATTAATGTGAATTTATAATATCCATTTTAAGAAATCTTAATTGATGAAGTTAAGTTGATGTTAAATATTTTCAGAGAAAAAAGTTCCCCTCTTTATTCAGTGTTAAAGAAATGCATTATTATAGTCTTTAAAGAAAGCCAAGAAGCAAGCCTGTATGCTCGTTAGCATGCTCTGTTTGTCATATAAGAGCTTGTTAGTAGTGTTTGTTAATGCAGCCTTTCCAAGAAAACATCTAAGCATCTAAAAGCAGGTTCGTTATGTGTAAGTGCCTGGTGTCTGAAATGAACTCTTGTTTTAATCTTTGTATGCTCCGCTACTACTTAACACACCAGATTAAGTTTCAGGGTAAAGTCAATTAAAAATTCCTGAGTATTTATCTGTTCTCTCCAGCTAACTAAGCAACACTTAGAGAATAACCATGCAGATAGATGGAAACCCAGTTAACAGTGGCATGCTACACTGTGCCAAAGGGAATTACAATGCTTATTTGTACTTCGGGCACTTCATGGGTTTTCTTCTATTTACCCCACCCCCCACATGCTCTATTCCAAATGCAAAAATCTGGTATACTTTAACTAAGGAAATTCAACAATAACATTCTTCCAAACAGAGAGAGTTAATTATATGTGGGTTTTTTTTCTTTTCTTTTTTTTTTAGCCAACTGACAAGGAACTGAGAGAGACCATAGCATTACTGACAGCTCAGCAGACTGCTCTGGAAATTATTGTCAACATGTGCTGCAGTGAAGGTTTGTTACTAGTGACATTTAGATGTTTTCGCCCTGGGCTAGGAGGGGACAGTTCCTGCGGAGATATTCTAAACTATTCTGGCTCTGTGTGGTTTGTACGCTTCCCAGATGCCTCTGATGACGAATGGGAAGAGCTTTCTAGCAGTGATGAAAGCGATGCCTTCATGGAGAATTCCTTCAGTGAGTGCAGTGGCCAGCTGCTCTCTCCCCTCTGCCTCTCCCATGAGGTTCACACCGCTCTCACCAACTACCTCATCCCAAAGAAGGTAATCTGTTTACATTCCAGACTTGGCATGGAGCATGGGGAGGCTCTAAGCAAGCTTTTCATCTGTGTCCAAAAGAAGGAAGCTCACATTTTCAGGGTATAGGCATGGTACTATCAGACACACAACCAAACCTGTAGTACTAGAAATAGGCTTGCAGGTCACTCTGTCTTTATCAAGCCTGTTTCACCTAGAAGTAGTATGTTGGAATTTTGTAAAAGAGTTGTTAGGAGCTGGATGCAGTGGCTTGAGCCTGTAGTCCCAGCTACTTGGGAGGCTGAGGCAGAAGGATCCTTGAGCCCAGAGTTGCAGGCTGCAGTGAGCAATGATCATGCCATTGCACTCAAGCCTGGGTAACAGAGTGAGACTTCCTCTCTTTAAAAAAAAAAGGAATCATGTAAAATGACTAATTTTTAACCTTTGCTACCTTTTTAAAATCTAGATTTTTGAGAAAACTGCCTTTCCCAACAGCATTGCAGTGGACCTGTGTTCTAGGAACCCTACTTGGAAACCTTTGATTAGAAAGTAAGAACCTTATTTTCAAAAGCATTTGTCATATTTTATTATATGAAATGATGGATCGTTAAATAGAAGATGCTGACTCACCCCAAGACTCAGAAGTTTTGTTCCTGGGTATATACCCTAGAAAAATATGTGCACACGTGCCCTCAAATACATGTGTGCTCATGTTCATAGTAATGTGGTTCATAGTTGCCCCAACTTGGAAACAAACTTAATATTCATCAGAGTTAGGATAGATAACTACATTTTGACATAATCGTGCAGTAGAATACATACAGCAGTAAAAAGGATCTGGGCAACATAATGAGACCTTGTCTCTACAAAAAAAATCTAAAAATTAGCCAGGCATGGTGGCATGCACCTGTAGTCCCAGCTACTTAGGAAGCTGAGGAGGAAGGATCACTTGAGCCCAGGAGGTTGAGGCTACAATGAGCCATAATCATGCCACTGCACTCCAATGAGAGAGTAAGACTCTGCCTAAAAAAAAAAAAAAAAAAAAAAAAGCCATAGAAGAATATTCACACTGTGATTTAGTTTTTTTACAAAGTTAAGAAATGGGCAACACAACTGTTATGTTTAGGGTGGCATACATAGGTGATAAAAGTATTATTTTTAAAAAGCAAGAAAATGTTTACCATGAAAGTCTGGATAGTGGCTACCTCTACGGGTCGAGGAGGTGGGACATTATAAGGAGGAGGTACACAGACTGTGAGGGTGCCAGCAGTGTTTATTTCTTATCCATGTGCATGGATACTTGCTTCATAGACTATTTGGTAAGCTCTCTATGTATGTTGTGTGTTTTACTGTATGTATGTCATATTTCATAATAAAAAAAATAAAGATGTGACCTTGCATAGAAATTTCTCTAAAATGCCTCATAACTCCTCAGTGAGTTGTGCCTTGGGGGCCTTGAATGCTCGGGCAATTTGATTTGACATATTAGCAGTTTACCCTGTGGTTTTCTGCTAATTGCCACGGACCCGCTTGTAGTTACACATATTCTGAGTCAGTACCTGAAGTTTAGGTTAGAAGTGGATACTGAAGTCTGATGTGTAGCTTTTGGGAGCCACAGGCACAGGCAGCATTACTTCCCTTCCCTTCCAGGATGAGCACGATCCAGTGCAGAGCCCTCGTGTGCCTCCAGAGTCTCGTGTCCCTCCTGGATCTGGACCACCTTGGAGGAGCACCAGCCCTCCAGACACTTGCACAGCATCTGTCACAACTGCTTTTTGCTCAGCCCGGTAAGTAGTTAGGCTTTATCATGAGAGATTCTCCCCAACATGAGCAGAGTTTTGAAAGCACAGGAACTTGCTTGTGTAACTGTATATTGTTTGTCATCCTACCCGTAGAGTACTAACAGTCTTGGATTTATAGTTGTCGAGGAGTGGAGTCAAAACAAAATACACAAGCAAGTCTGTGGGTTATAATTTTCTTTTTATTAAAATTGTAGGCATCCAGTTATGTCAGTCCATTTAAGACTGAATTATAAATATATTAAAGGCCTCATTGAGCGGTTTGGTAATTCTCCATTTCTTTTCTTCTTGATTATAAGAACTTAAATTTGATTGGGTAACGCACATATGTAATATAAATTCATAAGTTACTGGAGGGCGTAAAGTGGGTGCCTCCCTCCTTCATCCCACGCTACCCAGCATTAAGTCAAACCCGTTTCTTGTGTGTTCCTCCAGAGAGATTCTCTGGATGTGAGAAAGACTGAGAGAGCATGCACATGTATAAGGCCCGTGGCAGAACACCATCAAGCAGTTCTGCACCTTGCTTTCATCTCGCATGTCTGTCTAGAACACCTCTGCATGGTAGGAGCTGACTCTTTAGGTTATAGGTCTCTGATGTGGGTTAATTTCATGTATATACAAAAACCTAGGGAGAGACCATGTTTAACTATTGTTTTTAAATGACCTAGCAGTACAAAATTAGATGCATGTTAACAGAGTTTCATAGTTCATTATAGTAAAATGTCGTTTAACGTGACCACATTAAACTATAGGAGCTCAAACCAAAGATAGAGATGGAGGAAAAGTCGTATTTGATGTAGTAAAGGGAAATTCTCCACGTGACTACCTGGCGTGCATTCCTGGAGAAGGACTCACACCGGAGATGTGTCTACTGCCCTCTCAGTTCTTCAGGTTTAAGGAGTCTTCAGGGATTTTTGAGGGTAAATTTGAAGATACTTCTTTCTGTACTGACTTAGAATCTAGTCACCAAATAAGATCACTCCATTGTGTTATATTCAATGAATTCTTCATTATAGATAGTTTAACATTTCTCTTTCTTAGATACAACATTAAGCCCAAGAATTGAACTCTTAAAAGATTAAAGTATGGGCCAGGTGTGATGGCTCATGCCTGCAATCCCAGCACTTTGGGAGGCTAAGGTGGGAGGATCCTTTGAACCCAGGAGTTCAAGACCAGCCTAGGTAACATAGTGAGACCTTGTCTCTACAAAAAAATTAACCAGGCATTGTGGTGCATGCCTGTAGTCCCAACTACTTGGGAGGCTGAGGCAGAAGGATTGCCTGAGCCCAGCAGGTCAAGGACACAGTGGCCATGAAGCATGCCACTGCACTCTAGCTTGGACGATAGAGTGAGACTCCAACTCAAAAAAATAAATAAATAAAATAAAAATTTTTGAAAGATCAAAATATGAACACTTTTGACAAGTTTCTGTGAAACATTCATTGAAGAGTTGATCCCCAGGTCTTTAGACATCTGTTTTGCTCTCTGTCAAGTTCCTAAGAGGTAATTCGAGCCAGTGCATATTATGAAGATAAGAGGCAGGAATGAAAATCCTTGTATAGTTACTAAACTGTCTCTGCCACCTTTTCAGCATTGGTCACTTGATGTAGTTTTCAGGTGATCCCTGGCTGTCTGTGCATTTATTGACTGGACTGAGCCCATGAAAGCCATGCTCAGCCAAGCTAGGATGTAGACAGGATATGGGTAGTGCTGGCCCAATTCCCACCCCAAGCCAGGACTGGACAAGCCCTCTAGTGCAGAGGTGGCTTGTCAGTATGAGCAGGCGGGATATAGCTTTATACTTCTCACTTTCTTACAAACCTGGAAGAGATCTGGATGATATGGGGCCTGATGAGTCTGGATAAATGACAAAAGTCATTCCCTGACTTTTGCCGGCATTCTGGCTCTGATCAAACCAGCAGATGTCCTATGGGGTGGCGAGTGGGAGAGCTGCTGTTGTTCATGCCCATGTTCATTCGTCCTTTCCCATGTACTAAGGCAGAGGGCGGCACCAAGTCAGGGAGTCCACAGTGTGGGCCCCTGGTGAGCAGGATCTTACTAATCTCTTACTGCTCCCAGGCACTTCCTAACCTGAACTAACCCTGTCAACCTTACTTCCATAAGCTGCCATCTCTCACCTCTGGGCCACCTCTTAGCAAGAGTCATCCCCAACCAGCACAGAGGGTTTATTATTTCCCTTGAAATAAATGCACATGTGCCTTTGCTAGCCACAAAACACTTAGGGCTGTGCCTCTCTACTCTGGTGGCTATTTGTGGTCACTGAGGCTTGTGCATTTATTACCTACAAAGGGCACAGGAAAACCACACCAGAGTCCTAGGGAAATAATGAAAAGTTTCTGAATTGTGGGAAAATAAGTTCCAGTGTCATGGCTATTCTTGACATAATCTTTTTTTTTAAGTTTGGAAATGTGACATCCTGCTAGGTTAAGAACACATTTATGTGTCCTGAGGACCATGATGTTTTTATAGAAATCTCCTGCTGGCTGGGCACGGTGGCTCAGCCTGTAATCCCAGCACTTTGGGAGGCTGAGGCGAGAGGATTGCCTGAGCCTGGGGGTTCAAGACCAGCCTGGGCAACTTGGTGAGACCTCGTCTCTACAAAAATCACAAAACCCAGCTGGGCATGGTGGCTTGTGCCTGTAGTTCCAGCTACTTGGAAGTCCAAGGCGGAAAGATTGCCTAAGCAGGTCGAGGCTGCAGTGGCTGTGAGTGTGCCACTGAATTCCAGCCTAGGCGACAGGAGTGAGACTCCAACTCAAAAAAAAAAGGAAAAAGAAGTCACCTGCTACAGGTTCCTGTCACAACAGTATTTTTGAAGATCTGTTCATCTAATGAAGTGGGCTCTGTTTTTTCCAGGTATTTGTAGTTTGAATTGACCTTGCATGTGTGATGGGTTTGAATTGTACACAATAAGGTGAAAGGTGTTGCTGTGGAAGATTGTCATTAAAATGCCTCTGGGTCCCAGGGAAAACTTAGTTATGAGAAAAAATGGGAATTCTCTGGACTGCCCACACTCAGGGTCCATCCTACATCCTATCATGGCACTTATATCCCTTAACAATTTAAGCATTTAAGGAATGGAGACAAGGAGTGGCTTGAAACGGAATGTCATTATTTTTAATATTTATTTTGGAATAACAGTAAATGTTCTTATCATTATGAAGTTTGATAAAGGATAATCTATTCTATTTAGAGATGATATTCTAATCTAATACTATTAAACATTGGGATGTATTAAAAAGTATTATCCTATGGGTTCTGTATGGACAATGTGAGCTGGAAGATTTGGGGGCTAAACATCTTTCCTTTTCTGTGTTACTGTGTTTAAGAGTTAATGTATAAGAATCACATAGTTCTATCTAACTTGTTTCCGTTTTAATGCTGAAACACAGCTCTGAATTCAGTAGTCATAGACCTTGTGATGCTCTTTACCTACCTACGTTGTTCGTGGCTGACATCAGAGATAAAAGGAGGCGGTTTTAATAGAATCTGGTCCTTGCATCCAAAACATTAGCATCTTTTTCTCTTTCATTAAAAGCTATTGATTTTCTTTTTTCTTTTTTTTTTGAGTAGAGTCTCATTTTGTCACCCAGGCTGGATTGCAGTATCACGCTCACTGCCACCCCAGTGTTGACCTGCTGGGCTCAGGCATCCTTCTGCCTCAGCCTTTTATGTAGCCAGAACTACAGGTGCACACTATCATGCCCTGCTAATTTTTTTATTTCTTGTATAGACAAGGTCTCACCAAGTTGCCCAGGCTGGTCTCAAGCCCCTGGGCTCAGATAATCCTCTCGCCTCGGCCTCCCAAAGTGCTGGGATTACAGGCTTGAGCCACTGTACCTGGTAAAATCAATTGATTTTCAAAACATCAAGAACTTTTTGCATCATTGTCTTTTCACACTGGGTCAATTATGAATTCTTTTCTCCATTATATGAAAACCATATAGGATTCTCTGTTTTCCTAGATTTGGGGAATCAGAAAGCTTTTTTTGGTTAACAGTTTTTTTTTGAGTTGGAGTCTCACTCTCTCCCTCATACTGAGTGCAGTGGCACAGTCATGGCTTACTGCAACCTCCAAATCCTAGACTCCCTCCTCAACCTCCTAGAAGCCAGGACTACAGGCATGCATCACCACACCTGGATGGAGTGGTGGCTCTATCCAGGTATGGTGTTGTATGCCGGTAGTACTGGCTAATTTTTAAAATTTTTTGTAAAGATAAAGTTTTACTGTGTTGCCAAACTGGTCTTGAACTCCTAGGCTCAAAGCATCTTGCTGCTTCAGCCTCTTAAAATGCTGGAATTACAGGCATGAGCCACCACACCCAGCCTGTTATAGTTATTATGGTAGTAACCCATTCTGGGATAAATTTTCCGTTCCATATCAGAATATTGAAAATCAACCTGAAAAGTTCACCTAAGTGTAATTTTTCTACTTGGTTACTTGTGGGTTGATTCTTTTTTTTTTTGAGTTGGAATCTCACTCCATCGCCCAGGCTGGTTTGCAGTGGCACGCTTACGGCCACCCCAGTGATCCTTCTGCCTCAGCCTTCCAAGTAGCCGGAAGTACAGGCATGTGCTATCACGCCTGGTGGGTTGATTCTTTGTGTACATTTAGACATGCTGCAAATTCTTAGATACGGTACAAAACTATTGAAGAGGAGGACATTTTAAATCACCTCTTTTATGTACAGTTCATGAATTTTAGAGTTATTCTTAGAACTTTAATCAAATATAGCATAAACAGAGCCAGTATAGTATCTTTTAGAAGCTTAATAGTAATGACATCACACCAATTTTTCAGTGCCTGCTAGGTGCCAGGTTTTAGAGATGGGCATTATTACTTCATTTTCCTGGCGAGGAAGCTGAGGTTTAGAGAGAATCGGAAACTTCTTCAAGATCATTCATTCTTTTAGTATGTTATCTTTTGAACACCTTTGTCATGCACACAGGTCCTAGAGATACAGGTATGAACAAGATAGGCAAGGTCACTATGTTCATGGAGTTTGCATTCTAGTATAAATAAATGTTTCATGTGGTTTTGGCTATAAGAAAAGATAAAAGGAGAATGCTATGAGGTGCTGCACTGAGCATATTAGTGTGGAAAGGCCTCTCTGCGGAGGTAATCTCTGAGCAGAGACTAAAGTGAAGGTCACCCAATGTCAGGCAGGATTCTATCCCAGGCTGCCTGTTTATGGAACCAGCCTGTTATCTATTCTGTGATAATTACAGGAAATCTCCTACTTTGCTACATAATACATATCTGAAAATGAGAAAGCCAAAAAATAAAATCAGCCTTGATTGAAATTTGTGCAGAAGCTGCCTCTCACCCAGGCAACCTAAAAGAGGGGATCAGAGCACTAGGATCCCAAGCACCATAGGGCGGGAAGCCAAGGTACCTACTGCACATAATAAATTACCCTAAAACTTTGTGGCTTAGAGCAGCAGTAATCATATAATGTTTCTCAGTTTCTTTAGGTCAAGACTGTAGACAGGGCACAGTAAAGATGGTTTGTCCTACTCTACAATGTCTAGGGCAGTGGTTGTCAACTAGGAACAGTTTTTTTTTGCTTTTTGAGTTGTCTTCTGACCCTGTCACCCAGGCTGGAGTGCAGTGGCATGCTTATGGCCACCTCAGCCTTCCAAGTAGCTGGAACCACAGGTGTACACCACCATGCCCGGCTAATTTTTTTTTTATTTATTGTAGAGACAAGGTCTCACCAAGTTGTCTAGGCTAGTCCTGAAACTTGAGCTCAGGCAGTCCTCTGACCTCTACTTCCCAAAGTGCTGGGATTGCAGGCATGAGCCACTGAGTCTGGCGGGAGTAGTTTTGAATCCCAGGGAACATTAACAGTGTCGGGAGGTCTTTTGGGTTGTTACAAGTTGGACGTTGCTGCTGGTATCCAGAGGGTAGAGGCCAGGCATGCTGCTGAACACCTTACAGTACACAGGAGAACCCCGTACACATGTACAACAACGAGCAATCTGGTCCAGAATATCAGTAGTGCTGGGGTTGAGAAACACTGGCCTAGGACCTCTGCTGGGAAACTCAGGCTGTGAACCACAATCATCTGAAGTCTTGATTCATGTGTCTGGCAGTTGTTCTGGGCTTGTCAGAAAGAACACCCATGAGTGACCTCTTCATGCATCCCAGGCTTCCTCATTACATGATGGCTGGATTCCATGCCATGATTCCCAAGGCAAGAGTCTAGAGGAAATAAAAGAGAACACACACACATGGCTCAGGGATGGACATCATACTGCCTTTTGTGACCCAGCCTGTCACTTTTTGTACTGTTGCTTGAAGAAGTCACAAGCTCCCACCTGGATTCAAAGAGTGAAGCAATAATTGATTTCACATCTTTATGGAAAGTGGCAAGGTTCCAGAAGATCATGCAGGACTGAAAACAGTGCTGCAGCCATTTTTGGAAAATGCAGTCTACCTCACCGAGGGAATCGCTTTCCCTCCCCCTGAAAGAGGTCAAGAAGCCTGCTCACTTGGGTGACCCTCATGCACCCTTGTGTGTGTGACTGTGCTGGTCTAATTGTTTATTTCTGCTCTTCTGTTTGTCCTGTGTGGAAAGAAGGAACAATGAGAAAAGAGTGAGGATGAGGAGTGGCAGTGTGAAGGGGAAGTGGGTCAGTGAAAACCTCAGTGCCATAGTGCTCTGGCCCTGCACGATTTCCAGTTCTTGGCTGGACGGTGGGCTTGGGCTGGCGAGGCAGCATTCCTATTTGGGAGATGACTACCACAGGTCTGCCCAGCACCATAAGGAGAAGCTGGCCCAGGTTCATCATGTGCTGAAGCAGGAGTCAAGTGAAAGCCCAGTGTCTGGCAGTCAAGGGCCATCTGGAAAGAACTCCCTTGCTGTGATAGTTTCAGCTGTGGTTATCTTTCAGGCGGCAGGTAACGGTGTACAGGGGACTGTTAACTAAACATTTTGGCTTAGATAGCAAGTGTTTTCTTAATGATAGCATATATTAACATTTAATATGATTTGTTTTTATTCTATTTTATTTTTCAACATAATAGTCTATCTTGGAGAAGGACAAACTTTATATTTCATTTTTGTGTTTTGTGGTAACCTTCTGTGTTTTAGATTTTGCTAAACATGCTGACTTTCTAGAAGCGATAAGTAGTGCCTTGAGGGCCCTTTTGCAAACAATGGCCTCCAAGAACATTTCCCAGGTAAGATTTTTAAACATTTTATGGGTAAACTTATTATGGAGGTAAAATTCATTACTTAGCTATTTTTAAAATATGTATATTTCTATTATAAGAGTAATATGTGATCTTTGTAAAAAATAAACAAAAGTGGTTAAAAAGTAAAATCTCTCTCCTCCTCCCTATCATCAGCAACTCACATAGGTGTTTTTTTGTTTGTTTGTTTTTGAATTGGAATCACTCCGTCGCCCGGGCTGGAGTGCAGTGGCACGCTCACAGCCACCCCAGCGTCAACCTACTGGGCTCAGGTGATCCTTCCATCTCAGTCTTCCAAATAGCTGGAACTATAGGCATGCACTACCATGGCCGACTATTTTTTTTGTTTTATTGTAGAAATGAGGTCTCACCAAATTGTCCACACTGTTCTCAAACCCGTGGGTTCAGGCAGTTTCCTCACCTCGGCCTTCCAAAGTGCTGGGATTACAGGCTTGAACCACTGCGCCCAACCTGTAGATCCTTTTTAATCAAAACAACTTCTTTGATGTATGTGTTGTAAATCTTTTCTCTACATGTTATTGGTGTTTTTAGTTTTTTTGTTTTGAGTCAGACTCTTACTCTGTCACCCAGGCTAGAGCGCAGTGGCATGATCACAGGCCTCAAACTCCTGGGCTCAGGCAATCCTCCCTTCTCAGCCTCCCAAGTGGCTGGGACTACAGGTACGCACCACTATTCCTAGCTAATTTTTTTTATTTTTTTTGTAAAGATGAGGTCTTGCTGTGTAGCCCAGGCTGGTCTCAATCAAACTCCTGGGCTCAAGCAATCCTCCTGCCTTGATTTCCCAAAGAGCTGGGATTACACGTGTGAGTCACTGCATCCAGCCTCATTGGTCTGTTTTTTTTTTTTGAGTTGGAGTCTCATTCTGTCACCCAGACTGGAGTGCAGTAGCACACTCCTGGCCACCGCAGCCTCAACCTGCTGAGCTCCAGCGATCCTTCCACCTCAGCCTTCCAAGTAGCTGAAACTACAAATGCACACTAGCACGCCCGGCAAATTTTTGATTTATTGTAGAAATGAGGTCTTGCTAAGTTGCCCAGGTGGGTCTCAAACCCGTGGGCTCAGGCAATCCACTCACCTCAGCCTCCCAAAGTGCTGGGATTACAGACTGAGCCACCGAGCCCAGCCTCATTGGTCTTTTTTAAAAAAACATTTTATCATAGAAATGTTCAAGCTAGCCCTTCTGACCTTATGCAGTGATTCATTTGCATCTCATTTCTCTGATAGGTCTTTATCACTTTTATTTGTTTCTTTTTATTAAGAACTTTTCAAACATTTCTCAAAGCAAAGAAAGTCCTTTTGTTTTTTGGTGGTTTTTTGAGCTGAGATCTTGCAATGTTGCTTGACCTTCTGGACTCAAGTGGTCCTTAACCTCTCTAGTAAGTAGGATTATAGATGCATGCCAGCATGCCCAAAATAGAGATCATTCTATGAACCTACATGCACCATCACTGAACCTCAGCCAGTTTTCAGCATTCTGTCATTCTTGTTTCATTCATCTCCCTCCATTCTTTCTTTTGTTTTCTGGAGTATCTTCGAGCAAATCATATTTTACCTATAAATATTTTATCCTGTACTTCATTATGCATGTTTGATAGAAAATTAAATGTTTTAAAAATTTAACCCCAATGTCATTCCCAAATCCCAAAATTAACTGATATTCTTACTATCATTTGGTATATAATCTGAGTTCAATTTTCCCAGATAGCCTTCAAAATGTCTTTTTGCAATTGGATTTCAAATGAGGGTCTAAGCAGGGTCCACACATTGCTTTTGGTTGATATTTTGATCTCTTAAGTTTTCTTTTCTTTCTTTTTTGAGTCAAAATCTCCCAGATTTTGTTGCCCAGACTGGAGTGCAGTGACACGATCATGGCTCACCATAGCCTCAACCTTACCCTCCCGGGTAGTTGGAACTACAGGCACGTGCCACCGTGTCCAGTTAACTTTTTGATTTTTTGTAGAGAACAAGGTTTCGCTGTATTTCCTAGTCTGGGTTCAAGCAGTCCTCTCACCTTGGCCTCTCAAGTAGGATTAGTCATGAGTCACCACACCCAACATGCTCTCTTAAATTTATTTTTAAACAGATTTATTGAAATTTGGTTTACATGCTGTATGATTAACCCATTTTAAGTGTCTACCTCAGTGGTTTTAGTATAATTCATAGGTTCTTAAATCACTCTTCACTCTTTGCTTTTTTTTTTTCTTTTAAGAGAGAGGGTATCACTCTGTCTCCAGGCTAGAGAACAGTGGTGGGATCATAGCTCACTGTAGCTTTCTAGGATCAAGTAATTCTCCCATCTCAGCCTCCCAAGTAACTGGGACTACAGGCGTTTGTCACCACGCCCAGCTACTTTAAAAAAAATTTTTTGTAGAGACAGGATCTCACTATGTTGCCCAGGCATAACATCTCTTCATCTCTTATATGTCTCCCATCTGCCACCCTTTTCCAATATCATTTATTCATTAAGAAAACTCACTTTTGACTGGGTGCTGTGACTCATGCCTGTAATCCCAGCACTTTGGGAGGCTGAGAAGAGAGGATTGCCTTAACCCAGGGGTTCGAGACCAGCCTGAGCAGCATGGCAAGACTTCATCTCTACAGTAAATCAAAAAATTAGCTGGGTGTGGTAGCTTGCTCCTGTAGTTCCAGCTACTTGGAAGGGTGAGGTGGAAGGATCGCCAGAGCCCAGCAAGTTGAGGCTGCAGTGGCCATGAA